TCTACACGCGCACACACACACGCACACACACACGCACACACACCCACCTCCAAACCCTTCTTCCCTGCCGTCCTTTGCAGCCTCTGACAGAACACTTTTGATTTATACAGCTATTCTGGGAGCTGCGGATACTGAGAAAATGGCTTAAAATGAAAATTACTGCTTCGCAGGAAGTACTCGCGGGATACAAATTATGAATCTGTGTGAGATATCAAGCGATTTGTGGCACAGCTGGTATGTAGAATATAAACATCAAGCATCTTGTCATAATCAAATATTCCCTAAATCTGGACTAGCAACATTGCTTTTGAAAGATGTCGTTCCATATAAATGCCTTTAACGCCTGGTAGAAAATTCTTATGAACATGTTGACAAATGAAATAGCCCGGGTTATTTGATTAGTGTCCATGTAATCTGAATATTGGTTTGTATTGGAAAAAGAAACGTCAACCCTTTAATGTTTTTGAAAGGATGGATTTTCGCTACAATTAAAGAGTAATCTTATACCAATAAAGAGAGTGAATCATGCGCTGCATGTGCTGTATTAAAGGGATTAAAGAGGGAATAAAGTCAAGAGTTTGTGTCTTCTTCAAAAATTAAGATCAGGCAGAATAATCGATGTTAAACAGATAATGGGGATTGGTGGCTACCCCAAGCACCGTGCAAGGTCTGCATCCTATGGCCCAGTTGGGGCGGGCTTCTGGGCCCCTGGGATCTCTCACTGCGTCTTTGGGAACGTTTTCTGACTCGGGGTGCAGATGTCAGCAAAGCAAGATTAACAGTTCCCACTGCAGTTCATAACTCAACTATGTATATTTTTGCAGCCTCTAGGCAAACAGAGATACAAAGCGTACGAAAGGGATAATTAGATGTTTTCACCTGCCTTACAGAGCACAGATCACCTTACGGACTGTGCCTTATGGAGTGGGGACAACCTGTGCGTCCCAGGGCGAGATCCACATCCCGCGGTCCGTGCAGCGGGCTGGGTTTTACTTCGAGCAGTGCCCGAGCAAAGGAGCCCGGCGCCCTCAGCTCTGCAGGTCCGCCAGGCCTGACCCCGGCCCCGACCACGGCCCCGACTCGGCCTGACCTGCCCGGCCCGGGGGCACCCTGGCAC